GGGCGGCGGGGGGCTGCAAGGGCTCTCCAGCTGCCTCGCTAAAGTCCGTGGTCGCCGCCGTCGGAGGGGGCTGGGAAGTCGCCTGGGCGCGCACGTGCCGCCTCCGTCGGGGCGGTGAGCTGCTGGGGAGATGCGGCCCGCTGCCGGCGCTGCCTCGGGGGGCTCCGCCTCACATCAGCCCCCGGAGCTCTGACACCGCCCCCGCCCGCTGTCTCCTCCGCCTCCATCCCCGGGAGGGGCGCAGACCCACGCGCCCCCAGCCCGGAACCGTCGCTGCCGAGTGGGCCACCATTGGATCTGCCTAATCTGCTTTTTTTGTGTGTTTTCTGGTACATTTTTGGTCGGTGGCCGCGGTGCTGGGCCGGGGGTAGGAGGGGACACGGAAGCCACCCTAAACCAGCTACCCCCCACCCGCTTACCCCCTGCCCCGGCTCCGGGAGATGTGCCGGGCGGGGGGCCCGGGTTTGCGGAGCTGCCAGAGAGACAAGCAGGGCCGATCCCGGAGCAGTGCTGTACAGGTGAGTGTGTACGGGTCTAGGGTGAGGGGGACACCGTGCCTGGGCCAGGTGTGCGGGTTGGAGGATGGGAGCCAGGGCCTGCCCGGGCCTCGGAGGGGGAGGGGGATACTGGAGCCTTAGGTCGCCTCACCTCAGCCGGGAGGGGCGTCGGGGACAGATTGCCGCGCACCCCCGCTGGCGAGCGGGACCGGGAAGGGTGGTCCCTTGGAGTGCCCAGGGCGCGGGGGTGCGGATGGGCGTCCGCGGGGTGCCCTGCAGGGGGAGGGGACGACGAGTGTGCCCGCGCGTGGCTGCGTGTGCCCGCGCGCGCGCCAGCCTTTGTGGGGAAGCGGTGCGGCGGTGCCTGCGTGTCCCCGGTGCGTGTGCGCGCGGGTGCTTGGCGCCCTGTTTGTGTAGGTGTCTGGGTGTGAGCAGAAAGGGTGCGTGTGCGCGCCGCGCGGGCCCGGGCCCCGGAGGATCGGAGTCGGGGACTGGCTCTTTAGGAGGCTGGGTTGGGGGTTGTTTTTCTCTGGGAGGCAGTGGCGCGCAAGGCGGGGGTCTGTCTGGGTGTCTGACCCGGGGCTACTGCTGCTCGGAGGAGGAGTGCTGCCCGGCAGCGTCTCCTCAGTGGTATTGGTTTATGCATGGAGAGCTGTCGAATCGGACCCATCCGAATACGGCCGCCGAGCTCCCCTCCACTCCAGGTGTGCGCTGGCATATTGTCATCCTGCTATCTCAGGGTCCTGGGATTGGAGTGTGATCGTAAAAGAGGGAGATGCTTTGTGTACCCCCATAGGCATCACTCTAGCACTAACACCCTCTGGCCCCCATCTTAAGACAGCACCTCGCCCGCGCACAGCAACCCCTCCCCAGGTTGAACGCACATCCCTGCCCCTACTTTAGGTTAGTAAGCTTCCATATCCCCTAGCAGTGCCTGGTCCCTTTCCTCTTGCCTAGACACCCTTCCCTGGTGGAGGGCCATGCGTGGGTTCCTCTGTCTGTCTTCTGGCAGGCCCCCCTTGCCTCCTGGCTTCTGCAGGACGAACGGCCTGGCTTGTCTGCCCACATCCAAACATGTGGTGTGCCTGGGGAACAGGGGGGAGGGGTTCAAGATGGCTGCCAAGATGGCTGGTCGCTCTCCACCTCTCCCTCGCTCTCTCCTTCTCCCTCTCCCTCTTTTCTCTTTCTCTCTCCTTACCCTGCCATCTCTTCAGGGGATACCCCAGAGAGAGGACTGGGCTATGTGGCCACAGGTGTGGAGGTACCTGAGGGTGGATGTCTTGCTGGGTCTGTTGACCTCGATGCTGTTAGGGGAGAATTGGATGGTCTCTGTTTTGCAAACATGGGGCATGAGCCAGAACCCCCCACTTCCTCCTAACCTGAGATTCCAACTCCTTCACCCCAGCCAAGAGCCTGGGACCTTCCTGCCTTTCTCAGGCTTGGCACCGGAATTGATCTTTGGGGTATCAGGGTGCCCCAACTGAGTCTGCCTTTCTGCATCACCTTTTACCCTGTGGGACTAGATCAGGGGGGCCAGGTGACTTCTCCTTTCTCCTGACTCCCTTTCCACTAATGCTGAACTTATTACTTAAAAGTAGGATGAAAACAGGGAGAATAAGAGAAGGAATACAACCTTCATTATCATATCGAGAAAATTATCCATGATTTTCCTAACTAGCAATTTGCCTGCCACGCCGTTCAGAAGTGACTTGCCCATTAATTACAGAGATGAAAAATCATCTGGAAAGAGGAAAAGGAAACTAATTCGATCCCTTGCCAGAGACCTTCACATACTACGTGTGTGTTCCCCTTGTGGGTGCCAGCCCCCCTACTGTTGGACACCTTCTTCCTCCTCCCCCTCCACAGCCCATCACCAGGTCTCTGCCCACCCTAGTGTCACCCCTGCCCTCCAGTGCCCCTCCAGGTCCTCCTCTCCCTGTGGTGGCCCATCCCAACCCCACTTGGGGGTGGGGATCCCCTCATGTACTCCTTGTTCTCCTGCCCTTGAGTGTGGAGACTACTGGCAGGGATGGGGGAAGGGGAGAGGCTCAGCGCACCTGGGCTGTGTGTGAAGCCTGCAGGGAGGAGGTGCAAGGCGGGAGACTCTAGCCGCCTTCTATTCCTAGCCTGCCCTGGGGAGCTCCTGCCTCCTGGAGGGCTAAGAGGACCCTGTGGGCACCTGAGGGAGGGGGCCTGCTGGTACCTGGGCTCCGGAGACTTTGCAAGTAGCGGTCTGACCTCTTCGTAGCTTTTTTACCTGCTTGGGCTGCTTCTGGGCAGACTACATGCTTCTCGTGTCTCGTGTGCCTGGTTGTTGGGAGAGTGAGTGGGCTTCAGCCCTTGCATGGGCATCTTTGTGGGGGCAGTAATGTACACAGGAGACCTGTGTACGACTTGCCTCAGAGCGTGGTAGCCAGGAGAAGATGGGGAGGCCCCCAGTTAGACGTGTGGCCAAGGACACCAAAGGCTCTGGTTTCTCTCTGGGTTACTCTCTGGGAAGAGATTTCCAGACACCAGACACTCCTCCGCCAGGCCCCTCCATGGGAAGGCAAGGGCAAGGGCTCCTCAGCTGATGGTTCCCTAGGCCTGGCAGCTGACTGTCTAGAGGTAATGATGGGCCACTCTGATGGAAGAGGAATGCAGGGTCCTAAGAGAGGGGCGTGCTGGGCTGAGGGCATGGAGAGGGTCCCTGTCCATCCGCCTCCAGCCTTCTGTCAGGTGTGTCTGCACCTGTGTGTACCTGTTTTCATGCATGATTGGATGGTGACCCTGATTGAGCATGCATGTGGCCACGTGTGGCCGCCTGCCCTCTGTTCATAGGGTCTCTGTGCTGGTGTTTGTTTTCCTGAGGGGGTGGCTGTGTGTGCAAGTGACTACTGGCATGAGCAGCTGCCCACATCTCTTCTGCACCCGCATGTGCGCTCAGATGTGTAAGCGGGCTCCTTGGTGCAAGGCTGGGTGTGCTTCTTCACCTAACATGCCATACTTAGTGAGCGCCTCCCCTGCCAGAAGTCAGACAGGGACACCCTGGTGGCGGTGCCGTAGCCTCATGATGCTCACGGTCAGTCTAGTGACACAAAGACATCTGGGAAAGGGGCTCCCTCATCTCTGCGGAGTGGTGAGAGGACTTGTGTCTGCCCCTCCAGAAAGGCCAGGCTGTCTGCTGGGGAGGGGCAGTCCCCTTTTTGGTGCTGCATCATATCCATGAGGATACATGTCCACCCCAGGGCTCCTTCCACTTGGGACCATCCCCCAGACACCTCGGAGGAGGATTTTCCCTCACCCCCTTCAAATGTCACCTCCCTAATCACCTCTGTCCTGCCCCCACTATTTAATAGTATCGCTCCCTCTGCCCCTCCCACTCCTGTCTCCCCAGCACCTTTACCACTCACAGATTAGCTGGACCTGCTGGTGTGTTGTCTGTCTCTTGACCAGGACCCAGTCTTTCTGTCCTCTAGATTTGCTTTGGGACTCCCAGTGTTCAAGAAATCTTACTTGAATGAATGGGACTCCCAGAGAGGGCCCCTTTTCACCCTGCTCCCTTGGAGGAGTAAGGAACACCTATCACCTCTAAGGGCCTGAGCCAGGCCGGCTTATACCTGTCCCAGTGTGCACATCTGCAGATTCAGGTATGACTCTGTGGCCTGATGTATACTTGGGTGCATGAGGCTGTCTGCCTGGGCACCTGCCCCCTTCACCACCCCCAAATCCCCCCATGACTGGCTTTGTGTGTGGAGTCCTAGGGGCTGTCCTTGGTGCTCGTCTGGGCTCCTCCCCCTTCTTCAAATCTGTTCTGGCTTTGAGGAACTGGCTGAACAGAAGCCCCTTCCGCTCCCCCAACTCTAAAATTTGGGGACATTACACTTCTCATGCAGAGACTAAAAATAGCTGGTGCCCCTCCCCCAGGGGCTAAAAATAACCAGCATGTCACAAATAGCAGGTCCAGGAGACGGCAGGAGATGGCAGGTTGTCAGGCCCAGGTGGACTGGTGGTGCAGGTAGGTGATGAGCCGAGCAGCTGGCACCCCACTAAGGCAGGGCAATCTCCATGACAGCACTAATGACATTCAGGGCTAGTCCATTGTCTGCTTTGCTACTCTGTCCTGTGCATTGTGGGGTGATGAACAGCATCCCTGGCCTTTAGCATTTAGTTGTTTGGTTATTAAGTGCCGTCAAGTCGGTTCCAACCCATAGGGACCCTGTGGAGTTTCCGAAGAGCAGCTGGTGAGCTTGAACCACCGACCTTGCAGTTCAAACAGCTTTGCAGTCTGGCGCATTAACTTACAGCGCCACACCAGTAGCACCCCAAAAATGTGATGACCCAAAATGTCTCCAGTGCAGGTCTGTCCCCAGGATGGAGCCCTGCTGTGGAGGGAAGGAAGGCAAACTTATCCCAGAAATCACCAGATGGCAGATGTTGTAGGCTCTGCACCCTCAACCAGCTCTGTTGTGCATCCTTCTCCTTTCTTCATCTTCACAGTCCTTAAAAACTGTCCAACAATGATTCAGCTGTACAAAAGCTGGTAGACCTGGGCCCAAGTTTGCCAACTCCAGCTGGATAGTGCCTCCTTTGGAGAGCACTTATGACCTGGAGTACCTAATAAGCTCCGCATACTCTGCTCATCACCTCCCTGCCCTCAGTTCCACACACTCCCCACCAGACACGCTGCCTTCTTCTCCACTCCTCAAATATGTCAGCTGGTCCAACTTCAGGGCCTTTGCACAGGCTGGGTCCTCCGCTTGGAGTGACCATTGTTCCCTTCCTTGTGGACACCTTCCTGACTCTGCCTTCACCTTCTCAGGGCAGGGTGGCCATCTCTGACCACCCTATATAAAACTGCATACACATACACTGCCCACCTATGCCTACACAGTTACCTTGCCCGTGGATGGCTTCTGTGAGCCTCGTGTCCGCTCCGAGCTCCATGTGGGTAGGGTTTTTTGTTTGTTTTCTTTAAGGTTCATTCAAGCTGTATTCAGCATCTAGAACAGTGCTTGGCACATGAAACCATAAAAGGCAAA